TTTCTGAGATGTGTTATTATGCACACTATTTACATTGCTCGGACTTTCATCCTCATCTTTGTTGCCAAATTTATCAGAAGTTTTCGGCCTTTGTACGCTCCGGCCTTCTTCAGGAGAGAAAATGGAAATCACCACCCTCAGTGGGATCAGGTAGAAATCATAGACATAGAACATCATTAGAAAATTCGTAAACTTAAGGAATCAGCACATATAATAGGCCACAAAAATCTCCTGAGCCGACGAAGCATAGAAATCAATACAATATGGGAAGCAGTAATAAAGAGTCCCAGAAAAAAGCAATAATAACAACACAACGAAAATTGCAATATGATCTCCGGTAAAAACATGAATGATAACAGAAAAAATGCAACATGAGCACTGGTAAAAATGGTACTGAAAACATTAAGCTTATAAATCCTTGAAATTCATACACAGATGGCCCCAAGGATAAGTTAGTTAGATCCAGTGACAGGACCCAAAGAGTGTGAGTTCAATACCTGGTTAAAACGGTGGAGAACTTGAAGAGGGAAATTAACAGGAGATAACTAACTGACATCCATTAGACATGGCACGTGGAACTAGAACAGTCTACCCCGGCGAGCGAAATAAAGGGTTCAGTTCGACATTCCAACCACCCGAAGAAGGCCGGAGCATACAGCAGCCGAACCGTTGTAATACATATGGCAACAAAGATGAGGATGCTAATACTAGCAATGTACATAGTGTAATTTAGCGCCTTTTGAAAATTTTCTTTTTTGAAGGATTATTTTTATCATGAGGTAATTAACTATTGTTTTGCATGAATATGCTCTTTAGTTTTAATCCTCTTAGTTTGGACTTCTACCACTCAAAAACCTTCTTTACCCAAGTACTTACAATTATTTTTTTCATTTAACTTGCCAACAAAGGTGGCCTATATTCTTACAATCTACAATACAAGCCTGAAATATAATTACATACTACCATTGATGTTTTCTTAAACGTGTTCTATGAATATTTCACAAGGAACAGAGTATCTATCCTAGCCATTAGTTTTATTATTTCATTATTAAAATTACGGTTGAGAAATCAGTTTCTATGTTTATTTTCGGACAACATATACGTTTTTCTGATGTTTACGGAAAGGTAGAAGTGCTTCTGTTTTCCGATCATCATTGGTTCTCACGCTGTTTTCAAGGCAGTGATAGCATCTTCGCTTTAAGAAGGTGTACATGCCGAAGGAGTGTAAGAGAAGGATTTGTCTTATCACTGGAAGAAAAAAAAAATCTTGCTGCGAAATCCAACCCTCTTGATGACGGTGATGTCGGAGATGCTGAAGAGATGTCGGATTTGAGCTTCCGTTCCTAACCAGTATGCAGTGCGCTATATGGTTTTTAAAAGGAACATTTGAAAAGTAAGAATTTAAATTCTTCTTTGTGGCATGTTCCTACATGACACGTGCGGTTGTGGCTCTCCACAATTTCGTGTTCTTTGTAACACTTAGTGATGTTATTTAAAATTTTGTTGATTGCAGCTGAAAAATTTACTACCAATGAATATATCGTGAATGTCTGCATTGCGTTTTGTTGATATATTTTGTTATATCTTTAAAGAGGTTACAAACAGGAGGTACTCGAGTGAAAGGAACAGAAACACAGGAGTAGATGAAAGAAAGAGAGGTTTATTGTAAAAGTGAATACATTACTGAAAGACAGGGAATCGGGTGGCAGGCTAGCAACACCCGAAGCAAGGTTATTCACATTACCTCTCAATGAGGCAGGATGTGGCACGAGGCCGTTTTTTAATGTGAGGTAAATGCGTGCACGTAGGGTCGGGCAAAAATTTCCCGTAGACCCGGTAAAGACTCTTCCTTTCGGAATAGCCTCGTCTGGGTTCCTCTCTGCCCCAAAATCAGAGATTTCGACTAGTTTAGCTGGAGACGAATCTCCAACTAATTGCCAAAGCGAGGATATTTGCCAACTGCCCCACGCGGTCAGATGTGACACAAAGCCGAATTTAACGTGGAGTGTCCGAGCCCGTAGGCTCGGGCAAAGAATCCCCCGTAGAACTCGTAACAAACGGGGTCGGGTAGCTGTCTACCACCCCAGACGAGAGTTTGCCCTTCGGAATGGTTCCTCTGGGTTCCTCTGCCCGAAGGCAGAGAGTTCGACTAGCTTAGCTGTCGACGAATCTCCAACTAATTGCCGAAGTTATATTTATTGTATATAAAAATACAATTATGGCACAAGGCCGAAAAAAAGGGGAGGAGTTGAGGCTGGTCTTCACTAATTATCTTATATCTAACTAATCCGATTCACGACTCATTCTCTCATTACAATTTACTCATTCACCATAAGAACTCGTCTATCACCAATCAATTCTCCATACACCATAATACCGATTCCTCTCAAGGGGCACCTACAAAACTTGCCCCATGCCATAAAAATTTAATGATAATAAATTATTATATATAAAAATCTAAAAATGAAAAAATGGGAGGGAAGGGAGATGAACCCAATAACAAAATAAACATGAACACAAAGTAAATTAAACGTAACTGATGTTAGTAGGGCCCGTCCAACCCTCAAAAAGGAGAGGCCACTGTATTCTGCCCATTGGACAAAATCAAGAAGCTCTCTTGATAAGGGAGTGGGAAAGAAGAAAAAATATACGGACGTGGTAAAGAAAAAGCTGACCCAGTCGAGATAAAGAGGTGCGGAAACAAACTGGGGAGGTTGGGTATCTCAACATGGATCATAACCAAAGAGGCAGCCGGGAACAGGCCAGGAACAACACTTACTCACATTAACTAGGTACACAAAAGCTTGTCTAATGGCATCGCTGACTAAACAATTAATTTTTTTTAGGTTTGAACTATAAATGACAGGAAATTGTGGAGAACCATGATTCATCCTGAAGAAAAATGGCACATCCTGAAGGCATATAGAAGGATAACTTATTATGATGAAGAGGTTGACTTGATACAAAACGTGAGTAAAAGCAAGTCTTCTTAAAGGACTGATAAACATTCTTGTAGAGTCATCGGCCATTTAGCCCAGTGTGGTAAACTAAGCTTCATACGTATGCAGACTGTGCTGCGATGCCACGATGTTTCTTGGTGACGTACTTCTACGACTGAAGTCAAGAACTAAGTCGAAGGATTCTCCTGATGAAGTCGTCAGCCACGTACCCGTGACCAAAGTATCGTCGAGGTGAATAATACGCAGAGAAGAATGGGTGTTTGATATATTTATTCAGCACCAGTATCCGGTGCTAACGGATACATACAAAAAACACAGAACAATAAGTTATAAAGCAATTAACAAGACAACTTACAAGGAATAGAGGAGGGTCAAATGCTATATAACCAAACAAAGTAAGATCAGTTTGAATATTAACCAGCTTAGTATCAACTTATTAATCAAATGTTGAAGTCCTTACTCGTAGACTAGTTAAGGCTATGAACCAGGACATCTGGTAGAATGCTGAAGGGGTGTTAGCTACCCTAAAACAACTAGTCATGAAAGGATATCTCTCCAGTTTTCAACCCTGATATGTGAAAAGAACCGCGACCCTACAAACGCACTTGGTCACTGGAATGAGGATGATAATTTAATGTGAGTTTCAAGTACTAATGGAAACGCTGAATCATCCCAATGAGTCCTGACTCAAACACTGAATACACAGAAATGATCTCTCTCATCTATCTATCTATCTATCTATCTATCTATCTATCTATCTTCACTTCACATGACGGATTCATCTTCGGTGGACATGATTTAAACTATGACAAAGCTTTCGACTCACTGAAAGAATTTATAGCTATCCTCTCGCAGGTGTCATATAGAAAAAGGGAGTCTTTTGAGATTCGATCTCAAGACGTCTACGCAATTTTAATACGGGTTTATTCTTGATTCAAAGGACAATATCTAAATAAAGCAGCATTTTCTTCTAAATTAATCTTTACAACGGAAATAACATTTGTACAATTGTTCGAAAAACACAAAGCACTATGAAATGTTATGCATAAGAACGCTTCGACTGTACATGTCGTATGCGTTGTGTTTGAAAGAATTTCTAACTCTTCAGTGTGTATTTTTTTATTTTAAAGTTAATGTATCAATTCTCGAAGCTTTCCTGGTAGTAACAAAAATTAAACCAAAAATAAAACCTCATAGATAATAAATGCTTATTATTTATAAACAGAAACTAAATATGACAAGAAGTAACATTTTGGGGTATTTAGTTATGCAACAAGTTCTAGAAACTCATAATTCTATACTAGAAATACTTAATTCTGGAAATACTTTCTGAAAATATTGCATATTTTTTGTGGGATTAAAATAGAGTTTAGATGTACTCGGGGTCACATTTCTAGCGGGCTAATCTAATAAGATAAAAAGAAATACAAATTATTATCAAAACAGTTATGGTCACTAAAGAAAGAACATTTTATATTACTTCAAGTTGGAAGTCATTTTTACAAATTACAACCCTAAATTTTTTTTCTGCTTTGGAAAGAGAAATGGGTTAAAAAAAGCGTGAGCAAAATGGACACAGTTTGGAAAATATTTCAAATAACGCAGATTCTCGGTCAACACGTGTAATCCCGTTCGGCTATACGCATAAAGATAATTATTGCCAGTGGGGAAAAACCCTTGGCCCATTTATTATTAATACCCTAAAGCGAAGAAAAATATATATATATATATATATATATATATATATATATATATACACACACACACACACACACACATATATATATATATATATATATATATATATATATATATATATATATATAATATATAATTTAATATAATATAAACTGAAATTGTACTCAATGCCCTGTTCGTGTACTTTCTGTATATTTATTTGATGTGAAGAGTTTTGGGGTCGATGCTAAAAAGTGAGCGCTATCGCGTCAAAGTTGTTTATAAGTCACTTAAGATGAAATTCAAAACGGAATAGTTGATTAAAAATATGTACATAAGATAAAAATCGAGATATAAACAGAGTTATATAAAAATGGAAACAGAGGAAGATAGAAATGAGACAAAGATAAAGAGAAACAGGGCAAAAACATAGATAGATAGATAGATAGATAGATAGATAGATAGATAGGAAGAGACCTTGATACATAGTAAGAGACTGCGATAGTTAGATAGATGGATAAATAGATATGAACATAGGTCCATAGATACATAGATATGAACATAGATACATAAATATGAGCATAGATAGATATGAACAATGATAGATAGATAGATAGAAAGATAGATAGATAGATAGATAGATAGGAAAAGACTGTGATAGATAGATAGATAGATAGATAGATAGATATTAACATAGATACATAAATATGATCATAGATATATATGAACAATGATAGATAGATAGATAGATAGATAGATAGATAGATAGATAGGAAGAGACCTTGATACATAGTAAGAGACTGCGATAGTTAGATAGATAGATAAATAGATATGAACATAGGTCCATAGATACATAGATATGAACATAGATACATAAATATGAGCATAGATAGATATGAACAATGATAGATAGATAGATAGATAGGAAAAGACTATGATAGATAGATAGATAAATATTAACATAGATACATAAATATGAACATAGATATATATGAACAATGATAGATAGATAGATAGATAGACAGGAAGAGACTTTGATACATAGTAATAAACTGCGATAGATAGATAGATAGATGAATACATATGAACATAGGTCCATAGATACATAGATATGAACATAGATACATATGATCAAATTTATGTATTTCATCAGTTTTCGTATTACAAATAAAATGTTGCTTTCTCCAAAGTATATTGTTGTTTGTATTCATTTGTGTGCGTGAGAGAGAGAGAGAGAGAGAGAGAGAGACAGAGACAGAGACAGATAGAGATAAGAAGCGTATGTGATAGATGTAAAAAGCAAAGTGCGAGATAGATAGACAGGAACACCTTTTTATTAATATTTTATTTATATTTGTAATTTATTTTATTTATAAACCTTTCTTTTCATATTCATCTAACAACCTATCTTTTTCATTTTTTTTAAGCATTTCACCGCAAGCAAGGCGGGAAGCCATTGGCACGCAAGGGGTTACATAGGATTTGGAGCGAGAGCAGATGGTAATGATAGAGGAAAGGATGAAGAGAAGGATAGTGGATAGATCAAGGCAACTGGAGATGTCGATTGACATTACACTTGAACAGTTGGAGATTATAGCTATCAGGGAAACAGGAAAAGGGAAGGGAGTTCCATAGGCGAGTGGTGCGAGATATGAAGCTTTTGGAGTAGAAGAGACGGCAACATTTAACAGTTTCAACAGTGAAATGGTGAGAGCGGGATGCCAGCCTCGTAGGACGCTTGAATTCGCGAAGTCTTGGAATCAGCGAAAGCAGCCGATCGGAGCAATTACCATGAAAGTATTTGTAACAAAAAACAGAGAGAGGCGACGGCACGTCTGTGAGAGAGCGACTGCAGACGAGATGCCAGATCAGGGCCAATTATATTGCATATCCGTCTCTGGATTTTATCAAGAATCCCGAGGCAAACAGAGGGGGTTCCAGACCATATATGGCAACAATACTCCATGCAGGGGCGAATGGTTGATTTGTATATTTGAAAGATCGATAACGGGGAGAAAGATTTTCTGATGCGGTACAGAGAGCCAACTTTCGTTGCGGTGGACGAAGCTATTGACTCAATGTATTTGTTCCATCTAAGGTCAGTAGACAACGGGAGACCGAGCAGCCGCAGAGAAGCGTTCTAGGGAAGATGAGCGTCAGACATTCTAATGAGGTGCAGGGAAGAATCTCTGTGGTGATTAATAGAGAGCAGTTTTGCTTTGGTGGCGTTAAAGTTAACCTGCCAATTACGGCCCAAGTTCACAACCGATTAGAGGCTCTTTTCGAGACGAACAGCCAGGTTAGTTTTGTCAACGATTTCTATATCTTTATATCTATCAAACTATTTCTCTGTTCATGTAACTCTCTCTGTTCATTTTCTACCTCTGTTTGCGAATATTTAAGAACAGACTGTGATAGATAGATTAATAGATAACTAGATAGCTAGATAATAGACAGGTAGGTAGATAGATATACAGACAGGAACATACTCTAAAACATATTCTAAAATAGATATAAAAATACTGAAACAGATAGATGACATTAGATGAAATCCGACAAATATTTAAATATATTTTCTGGTCTTACATTATTTTTAAGAATAAACCTTACTTGAGTAAATGCTCTGTTTTAATTAGATTTACCAGTCTAGATGTTCGAGAAACCTGCATCCCATACGGAAACCTGACCATTCAGCCACTGAGAAGTTTCCATTTAGCAAAGTCTAATTTACTGCTTATAAACACATACCTTCGACGATCTTTCTCCCAAACGTCGCCTAACATAAATAATGGCAACATATTACATTACATTACATATTTCTCGAAATTTCAGGCCGGAAAATGTAATGAATAATGTTTAATTAAAACATATTTACTCAGTTAAGTTGTATCCATAAACGTAACGCATAAACAGAATATATATTAAAATATTTGTTGGATTTAATCCATTTCATCTAATATGTTGTCATTGTTTACGTTTGGTTACGTTTCGGCGCAGAAATGAATTATCGAGAAAGATCGTTGAAGGTGCATGTTTATAACCAGTAATTTGAACTTTGGTAACCGGAATGTTCTTTGTGGAAGAATTGTTAAACAGCACGTCTGGCTGTATGATGGTTTTCGTATTGTATACAGGTTCGATTCCTGTCGGAATATGCATATTTTCTACGAAATTTCTTGAACTTTCAGGTCGGTAAAATTAATTAATACTTTTTAATTAAAACATAATATTTACTCAAGTAAGGTTCATCCGTAAAAATAATATAGCATTTACTCCATTAAAATCCATGATGATAACGTATAAAATGAAAATGTATTAAAATAGTTGAAATAAAAAACCTTTTTATTGATAACAGACTTCGCCATTATTAGGTAGACGTCTTCATTTTTAAATTGTCAAAAAAGTCTTTTTGCATTTTTCTGATTTCTCTATTTATGTTCAGATTCTTCATCCTACTAAAGAACAAGGATATTACTAGATTGATAGAGGATTTAACAGACAAAGATATATAAATAGACTAGCAGCATGGCCCGGCATTGCCCGTGCTTGATTAAAAAATCGTACGACTCATACAGCAATCGCTATCACTTGACTTAAAATATTTTTGCCCTTTCTTGCCTTTAAATAGTGCCCTTTGCCATGCTGATGTTGCTACATGCCTTACTTCTTGCCTATCTCACACTGCGAATTTTTTCTAAGCTCTATAGTAAACATTAAATCTTACGAAAAAAGAACCTAGTTCTGCGGAATCAGAATCAACGTTGAGTTTAAGCGAGCGAATGAGCCAATTGGAGTAAAGTGCCATGCAGATTTAAATTTTTCCCACTTGTGACGAATGCAGCTATCGATTATTTTTTGCATGCTAGCATGCTCGCTAACATTCGGGTCAGTCAGCTGTTGGCTCTCACACTGGACAATAGAATCTTCCTGCCTATTCGTGGCAGCCAGCTGTAGGCTGTCACTCTGGCCAGTAGAAAATGGCCACAAACTACATGAAAAGTGCCATAGAAGCATGAAAATATCGATTATTTCCACTATCCATGGAGTTGGGAAATGCAACGTCGGTCTTGATCTTTCCGCTAACTGTGCATGTAAATTTTGGTGCAAATACGTCGAAAATTGCAGCCGTGCATTCGTTACACACACACACACACACACACACACACACACACACATCCTGCCTTTTATAGATAGAGATATTAAAAACTGAGATAAATATAAAAGTTTGAAATAGATGGAAGAAGTGATGACAATAGCGCCTTTAGTAAAAAAAAAAAAAATATACAGACATTTACGATTTCACATCTGTTTAGGTAAAATTCAAATTACTTTACGACGTGAACATATTAAAAAAAAAAAACATATATCTCTTTCAATCGCCCAAAGACACACACGAGTGAAAGAGGCACACGCCATGTAATGTCTCATCTAATGTTAACATCCAGGAGAGAAACTCATTGCGTCTTCTTGCACTCAAATTTTTAACTAACATGACATGAAATTGAGTGATTATATTGAATCAATTACTAGTTCTGTTGCCAGGAAAGTTTGTTCACTGGAGCGTGCCAAATAAATTTTCTCGACAGAATCCACCTTGCACTTTTTCAAATTTATCGTTCGTCGGTGCGTTGAATATTGCTGCCATATCTGGTCTGGTTCTCCGGCTAGACATCTCTAGATTTTTGACAAAACCTAAAGATTATACTGAACCCGTTACGGGGTCTGCAGCTAGGATAATTAGTTCACTGTGATATGCACGGCAATGTTTCTCCTCGCCAGAATCTATCTCACATTTTGTTGATTGGGGTTAATTTTGTTTAGTGTCATATTAATATCTATGGGTTATTTAATGCTAGAATCTAAATGTTTTGTACATAGTTTTATACTTTCACGGTAAAAGGTACTTTTTTTTTTAAATATATAGTTTTTAGATCATAATATATATTGCTGGTAACTTCACTAACAAGATTTATTTTAGTAATTTCACTATGAAAATGTATTTTATTTACATTATTCGGACTATTGTCCTCATCTTTGTCGCCATATTTATTACAACGTTTCGGCCGTTGTATGCTCCGGCCTTCTTCAGATGGTTGGAATGCCGAACTGAATCCTTTATTTTGCTCACTGGGGTAGACTGTTCTAGAAATATAGACAGAAAATATATTGCTGATTTTTTGTTTGGGGGCCTCATTATTTGCCTATAAATCGGACCCTAACAGGTGCTACCACTCCGACTCAGGGTGGACCTGGGAACATTTTCAATTAATCGGTGGTTCCACGCTCCTCAAAACATCCAATCCTTCTCTCAGAGGCCTTGGAGTCGGATGTAGTTTAGCGTCATACTCAGGACGGCTATTTTATATATTTATACTTCTGTTATTCGTATTTGGTTTGAATATTGCTGCCACATCTGGTTTGGTGCTACTTTTGTATATTTAGAGATCCTTGATAAAACTTTCTTCTCTTGCATTTATCGCTTGTGGATTCTTGCTTTGCAATCAACAATGATCTTCAAAAAAAAAAAAAGAAGCTGCAATGTTAGTGGTCCTGATATGGCATTTCAACTTCAAGCACTTTCGCACCGTCATGGACATTTTTCTAATGAGTTCTACTTGGCATCTCGATCGCTCGAATTTAAAAGTTATTCTAGATTGGCAAATAGGTTTCATTGTTTTACTGATGAAACAGCTACATGTAAGTTCTATTCTAATAGGTTCGTTTCGTGTAATTCTTGCGTATTTCTTGCGTATTTCTTGCTTCCCTGTCGCACTCAAAAACATTAATCACGCATCAATCTACTACTCTCCTGGATCCGGTTCCTTTCATTGTTCATTCTCCTTGTCTAAGTCAACAGATGTCATTGTTTTGTGTGCAACCTCGAGCCCAAAGGTGATTGCAATAGACGACTTTCCTGTTGTCGGTGGCGAATTGAAATAATTAGCGTAAAAAGAAAAGCGACAGACATTTATCCTAAAATTAAGCGAGTCGTAGTATCAAAATAAAAATCAAGGAAGATACAGCGAATATTAAGCTAAAAATACAAAGAGTAAAAATAATTATCTTTGGAGTAGCTATACAGGTTTCGTAGCTGGAATAAACAGAAATGAAATTCTTCGAAAACGAGGTTAACAAAGCGAATGGCTTGAT